ATGTACATTTATGAAAGTTCTTATGAAGTTTCAAACAATTTCATCCACTAGTTTTATTGTTCGAATGAAATACAGCAAGACATGCACTGGCTACTAAGAAAGTTAGTAGCCGGTGATCATCGGGTTAATTGAAGCAGCAAGTTAAATCACTTGATTTGTAACTGGCCAAACAACAGCACATAAATATGTACTTAGATTCAAGCTAAAGCAGTGTAATTCTGAAGTAATGTAAACCTACTAACTAACAATATCCCGATGCTACAGAAAACTGAAATGTAGTTGTTCTTAAATAAAGAAAAATCATGCACAAAAATTCTGAGAAGAAAATAAATGATATAGCATGCAGCACTTGAAAAAAATGGTACTTTTAGGCCAAGAAACTTTACACACTTGAAGCACACCAATTTGCCATAAATGTACTGATAAACTTAACACACTTGAATTAAACATTGGCTACTAAAACAAACTTTGAGTGGTCTTCTGTAACTATATATACATATATATATATATAATCCTATTAATCTCTATCTATGGATGAACAGTTTGTAAATTTCGTGTATATATACCTACAATACCATACAATAATTTAAAATTATAATTATGAAAACAAAATTAAGAAACTTCATAAATATCCACAACTCACTTTAATCTTTTCTTCTGAAAGAAGTGTCAGAGGGCGTGGTCTCCACAACATCTGGCAAAACCCATCCATTGGATGCCTACGAATGATCTTTCCTTGAAATGTCCATAACCAGTAGCCATTGTCAACCTAATTCAAAAACACAGAACCAACAATATTTCAGTAGATTGTTTAATAATCATCTTCTCATCAAATTAATTATGAATTTAATGTTAGAAGTACAGTTAGAAAAACAATGTCACATATATATTTAATAACACACCAATTTCAAATAAAACAAGATTTCTGCAATGCAACTAACTAGTTTTGTCAGAAACAAGGAAAGTATTTTTAAGTATAAAACCATAAAACGTGACATTACTTTTTTTTAATTTTATGTTGATTTGCTGCCTACCTTCTTCAGATGAACAAGCTAATTATCTATAGTTTAAACTCTAAATCAAGCTGCATAACTTCTCTACTTACTACCACTTTAACCTGAGTTAAAGCAACAAATAACTATTTGAAACCATTACCTTGTGTGCCCAGTGGCTCACTCCACTGGAAACGTATCTTCCTGTTGGATCCCACTCTACATCTGTTGCCATAAAATGATCTGACTGTGCCATGACAGTAAAGTCAGATGTATCCACAAACTCTAGACTGCCATTCATGCTAAACAGTTAAAGAAATTACTTCAAAAACCAATCACTGAAACACGCAACTCTATAAATAGTTGTGTGTCAATAACAACAAAGGTTCTCAAAGGTAAAAACCAAAAAATTCTTATAAAACAAATGCAATTTGTCTATATTTTTTCTTCTTTTACACAAGCTACTACTTGGTTTATCACTTCTTGTTTTATTGGTTACTTAATCTTTTAAAGCTTTCTTTCTGCATGTCTAGACTGACAAACTGATACCACATCATCAGTGTCAATTCTGGGACAAATCTTTCCATTTGTCCATGTCAAGGTTCATTAAATGTGTCTTAATATTCAATAAACATATTATACATAATCTTATGATAGTTCAGGTGTCAAGTTGCTCACATTTTTTAAATAACCAGGTAGAAAGCCTTCATGTGAAGGTGACTTCCTTTCTCTGCCAGTATTAACCTTTTCTTTTCTTTGGCTCTGACAGGGATCTCTCATTTTATTGATATAAGAAACTACCTTTCCTTGCTTCACATTCTGAGTTTATGTCCATAGTTTAATGTCCCCTAGTGGGACAGCAGTAAGTCTTTGGAGTTGCAATGCTACAATCAGAAGTTTGATTCCCCTCTGTGGACATGGCAGATAGCCCAATGTGGCTTTGCTATGATAAAACACCTATAATTTATCTTTACTGAATAATCTATCACATACATGATATTAGAAAAACACGTAGGTTCAAGAAGTCTTGATAGAAATGATTAAAAACCCTATAACCTGGACCTTTCTTCTTCAGGGGCAAACTGGGAATTACGGATAAAACTTTCAAGGCATGATTCAAAACATATATTATAAGCAAGTTACCTGTCAAACTCTCCACAACAAACAAGTTAGAAAATAACAGAATGTATACATTTATACAAATTGCTCTTACGTTCTCAGTCCAGCAAGAACAATAAACTGTCCATTTGGAGACCAAAACAGGTGGTTAAACTGCTTTCTCTCAAATTTTTCTGAAAAATATTTTAAATAATTAAGCAATCCATTAAAAATAACAACAACAAATTATCACGATTGCAGTCTCCCAATAAAAAGACTGACAGAAAAAAACAAATTCATATGTTTCATAAAGATAAAATACTAACACAAAGTTAAAAATGGATGGTTCTTGACAAGAAATTAATCTACAATACCAAACAATATTATTATTATCAATAATTTCTTAATACTAGACATTACAATATAAATAAGAACTTCTACTAAAATGTATTTCTCAATTCTTTTATAAAACCATGTTTGTTTGTTTTTACCTTAATCTTGTCTATCATATTAATTGTTGCAGGGGGAAAACAAAGAAATTTTTTTAAATAAAGTTTTTACAGATCATTTACATTTATAAAGATTATCTGAATTACAGTTTTTCAAAATGTGTGTCACAGGAAGGTTTGAACTGAAGTCGCATGCATTCCAAAAACTATTTTTCTGTAAATAGCAATACTTTATATTTCACTACATTTTACCTAATTATAATAAAATAAATTATGACAATTTTTTTTATAAAGCATCATATTTTAATCCCTCTACATATTGGGATTTTCCTTACTAGTGCAACATAAGACAAAAAAGTGTTACTGACTCTACGATGTGAAAACAGAGCTACAACTATACCTGTTGAGTCTACAACCATGATTGGAGAAAACTCACAAAAACAAACACACAGATAAAAGCTCACATTAAAAGCATTAAGTCATATTTCTTCTTTCATATCTTTCAGACAGTGTTAACTGATTGTTTATATTCAATATTTTGTACCCCTATAGATTTGACTAATGAAGAGATTAATAAAGAATTATTATTTTTATTACAATTTCTCAAAATGTTTTAACTCAAGACTCAGGATGCAGGTGATATTTCTAGGCATAAGGATGTGCAACAAAAAAGTTTGGCAACCACTCATCTACAATCATTGACAGAGAAAGTAAATGATGTTTAGCAGTAGACATACTTCATTATAATGGCTGGAGACAGCTTGAATGGGTAATGAAGAAAAACTTTAATATAAGTTTAACATAACAG